ATAGCTTCATGATATAGTCTGTGACTTCACAGGAATGTGCAGGAGGATGGGGGTCTGGGTTCTTCAGTTTCCGGTGGGCTGCCTCGGCCTCAGTCAGCTTGACCTGCTGCAGTGCACCAGCAGTTTATGTGTAATGAAGGGTCAAGACAGAGTTCTGTCTTCTTTACCAGTTGTGAATGGAATCAAAGAATGGAAAGTCTCTCTCTTATGCTAAAGGTCCAAAGCCTCTACTTTTTAAGGATTGCCCCATTGTAGGAAATACCCTTGACTAGCCAGCTGCTTCCTCCTGTACATTTTGATTTCTTTGGGGGTTTTTCATTGAGACCCAGAGGCCTCTGAGGGGGTGTCGTGCTAGATCTGATATTGCACTTGGGGCAACAGCTGCTTTTCCACGCATGTTATTATTGCTTTTCTCTCTGTCACATTTTTTTTGTTGGCTATCAATAAGTGTGTCTAAAATTTAGTGCTTCCAGGTAGTTATAGTTCTCCAAATCAAGGACCAACTTCAACTTCAATTCATGTGCAAAAACAAACCTGAAAAATATGCTTCAGAAGCTGTGCATAGTTGTAATTGTAAGTCAGATTGTATATTCAAATTGTAATTATGAGGTTTAGATAATAGTACAGTATGTAAGGTAGTGTAATTACCACTATTTTGAAACAATTCGATTAAACACTGCTACGATATTTCAGTGTTTTGCTTGAAAATATGTACAGGTTTTTTCCTTATTTTGTCCTTAAATATTCTAAAAGCGCCTTTATTTTAACATTATCTTTTTCAACATAATCTTTTAAAACATTAATAAGAATTGTTGCTTTTAGAAACTCTGAAAGAAATAATAGCTGGGAAAATGCTGTGTAGCTTAAAATCAGTCATTAAAACTCACAGTAGGGTAAGTAGATAGAGCCACCTATTCCTAACATGTAAATAAGCATAATTTGTTCCAAAGATGGAATATTGACACATAGCTCATGTCTACTGTAATATATTATCCAAATGCTACTGGGCATTTCACAGTAATGATGTGAAACCAACTGCATCAAAGACCAAATCTGAACCGCTAATGTGGCTGCTTTGCAGGGAATGGACTTATTGGTATGTTAGGTCATAAGCTATCAATATTTCAGAACCCTGCAATGATTTTATTTCTTAATTCATGTACTGTACATCCATAAGTGAAAATAAAATGTCATATTCTTTTCTAACTACTGTTGGTTTTGTTTGTTCCTATACTTTATCTTGAAGATGAGTTTTTCTAACTTTTTTTTTTAATCTCAAAGCAATGCATGATCATTATGGAAAATTTAGACAATATAAGTAAACAGAGTCAATAGTTTCTGAGATCCTATTTTCCATTTACCTTTTTCATCGTCTCATAGTTCTTGTGCATCAGAAATTTGGGCATTTCAGTTCTGCCTCCTGCTTCAGGGTCTTCTACAAAGGCTGCTAATAGGATTCATCTGGGTCCACTTTCAAGATTACCCCACTGGTTGTCAAAATGCGGTCCTCACAGGCTGCTGGCTGTTGGTTGGAAGTCACTCTCAGTTTCTTGCCACGTGGTCCTCTACAGTGTAGTAGTTTGGTTCGTCAAAGCCAACAGTAATGTCTGCTAGCAAGATGGAAGTCACAGTCTTCTATGATCTAATCTTGGAAGTGTTATCCCACCACTTTTTATTCTATGCAGAAGTCATCACTGAATCCAGCTCATTCAAGGGGAGAATTTATGAAGGCATGAACACCAGGAGACTGGGACATCTTGTTAGTCTGCCTATCATAGTAGGGAGAGAAGAATATCCTGAGGCCAGAGCTAGTTTTGGAGGGAATCAAGTCATTTCCTGGGGAGGTTGGGCTTACACCAGGTCCAGCATGTAGTGATTATTAGAAGCTCTGTAGCAAATTGGCTCAAAAGGGGAGGAGAGGAAGGAGGAAGTCGTGGTTACACAGACACAGGTGGTGTGCCATGCTGCTGTTGTCCTTAACCCCTGGCTGTCTTCCTTTAAAACAGCTTATTTTCCCTTTCACATTTCTTTGTGTGTCTTCTAGTTTAGGACATATTATGTATCCCCAATTAAATGTAATGTTTCGTTCTGGGGCATTCTTGAGGGTTAGAAGGAATCCTCACAATTCAGAAGACCTTCCACTCTATTGTAAATCCAGCTCATTGGAAATAGTTTTCCTAACTTTTCTCATGGAACTGAACCCTCATCTCCTCCTGGGGCCGACTTCATGCTCCATGATGGTGTTGTTTTACTGGCTACGTGAGGAGGTGAACATGGGAAGAGGTGACAGGGAAAAAAAAAAAAAGACTTACTGAGTCTCTGCCTTTTCTTTATTTTCCACTTTTCAGAATTAGCTTTTGTGCTTACATGATGAAAGGATCTCTTGTGTACAGAGAGGTCTGGTACAGTATGAGTAAATGACGAAAAAATCCCAACTACAGATATACTTGTTTAACATTTTATTGACAACGACAGTGGATAAAAAACAATTTTTCCCCTACCTGATATCTTGGAGCTATGTCCAAGGTAATTCTACTTCCAGCATGAATAGGAAGTTTCCAGAGTCCACCATCTGGCCATGATGCCATGGTCACTGTTAAGTGACAAGGATGGAATGTCCCTTTCCTCCTATTGGAGGATGGGTGGACAAGTCCCTAGACTACCATTTTTGTGCAGTACCTAGCAAACAGCAAAAAAACTTTTCTAAAACAAGACTTACTACTGGCCCAAGAGGATTACTGAGAAGTGTCCTGCTCTTCGTGAAGTTCACAGAAGCCAGAGTAAAATTTCAGTCAAACCAGAGACATTATCGCCTGGAGCAGATTACATACAGACATCATCGTCTGACTGATGCTGGTGTGACCTGGGATATTTTTGCTCTGTGATGGTGTGAAAGCCACATGCATCCAGTAGAAACTGTGTCTTAAGGTTTGACCACACTAGTGAGATGCTACATGGTACTTGGGGCATGTGAGCAGCTTGCAGTCAGCCACAGGGTCACCAAGGTCAGCATCCCACACAACACAGAGCGCTGTGCTGCTGAGCTGAGGGTTTGTAAGCGAGGGGTAATCATGTTTTTAACTTTGGGTGTTTTAACTCAAGGGTTTTTTTTTTTTTTTATATAACCACGTGAGTCAAGGAGCCTTGTGTTGCGTTCTCTCTCTGATTTCCATGAGCGGTTATTCCACAGAAGTGCCTTTTCCCCATAATTGGAAATGCTTTCCGATGTTAGAAGTCCTTATTGATGTAACTAAATATACCACCATTTTCTTTCCATCTTAAATGGGGCCTGGCTTTCAGATTTTGCTGCACATTGGAATCACCTGAGAAGTTTTAAAATCTTAAAATTTTCTGGAGGATGTGGCTGTCTGGAGTTTGCAGTGCTCCCAGGTGGATGGGAATGGGGGTGGATGGGAATGGGTGGTGGATGGGGATGGGTGGTGGCAGGGGCGCACTGGAAGAGTGCAGGCCTGAGTGAAGCAGCCATACGTCGACCTTTCTCTTTTCACCTCTGAGGCTGACTTCAGAGTTGACAGGCTCCCACTGCCTGTGACTGACTGCAGGAGGGGGTGGCACTGTGTCCTAGGACAGTGACCACATCTGGAGGTCAAGAGGAGGGGACAGGCCCTTAAGGATAGAACAGACTGGGTGTTTGGCCTGGGGAGGGCCCACTCTTCAAGTGTGGAAAACCATCAGATGAGAAACCAGAGGACTGAGTATTGAGTAAATAAATGCAGTTCAGACACTTGAAAGGAACAAAAATAAACAGACATCAGGGGAAGCTCGAAGTATTGATAAGCTGGTGGCTAAGATAGCAAAAGACCTTCCTAATATTTATTTTTGCTGTAAGGAAATTTATAGCATGAAAATAAGTTTAAAAGAGGTATCTCCAGCTGATGTCCCAAGTGGGTGTTTAACTGTCTTCAAAGATGTCTGTATCAATATACCCAAAGGAATGCTCCTGATTCCAGGACCTCAAGGAAGCACAGAATGCTGGGCAGGAAGGGGACCCTCCTGCTTCAGGGTAATGTTAACCTACTTTATTACAGTAAAATAGAATCACATGGTGGGCTTCTGCTATAATCATACATATGGTGTATCTTCACTAATAAGATGCTCTGTTTAAATTACGTACATTTTAGAAGTTCTTATGTACAGATAAATAAACACTGTAATTGATGTTTGTTTTCTTTATAGAGTTGTTATGCCCAAATATCATTTTAAATATACGGGAAAGTTAAATTTACTCTTCATCTTCACAGTAATTTCTAGAACCTTTTCTAAGGCACTAAGACACCATGGATGGGATATCTATTCATATTCCTCAGGGATTTGGGGGTTGCAAACAGTACTTGGGGCAGTTTTTGTAAAGAGGGCTAGTCCTGGACCACTGTGAGAGACCTTAGATGAGAGACAGGTGATTCCCTTTGGGGCCCAGTAAAGGTCTCTCTCGATGGCCAGTCAGTCTTCTTCACATGTAAAAAGTGGACAGGGAATACAGAAGTCACATGTTCACTGAGTAAAACAAAACAAAAGCGTAATTAAACACCGACAGTATTCAAATGTGGCACCTTGGGTACTTCAAAACTCCTCCAACTGAAGTAAAAGTATTGTTCTCTAATATTTTGGTGTTTCCTCAGCAAAAAAACAAATTGCTCATATTTGGGTCCCAAAGAATTATGGTAAAATTTCAGCTCACAGTGTGCCTTACTCCTAGGACTTTGTAGAATCAAGGAAACAATTATCTTCAAGCCTAGCCTTAACCTTGGTGACAAGGATGCAGCATGCTGTGGCCTTCAGGGCCCGCAAAGGGTAGAGGCTGGGTTTGTGAGCAGCCTGCTTTCTTCCCAGGGAATCTTCCTCCTCTGTGGCTTCTGAATTTTGTGTCATCTCTGGAGGCTGGGGGTGAATCCTGGAGGCCAAAGTATTTTAAAAGCAGCTAAGGCGCTTCCACCAGTTGCAGCAGCTGTGACACGGGGCGTCTCTGGGAGGTCCAGTTCTCAGGCCACGGGGGCTGTGTCTCCCCTCTTACAGCGATGCATGATGAAAGTCCCCAGGGCCACCAGGGGGATGCACATTGTGGAGGATGCCACAAGCAGCCCAATAACAGCTAGAGCATATGCCGGATAATCCTTGGTCACCAGCTGACCCTGCAAGGAGGGACAGTGTCAGCAGAGGAAACCTTTCCATAGAACCTTCTGAGCACTATGCCCAGGCCTCAGCCCTCAAGGAGGTGAAGAGGCAGCATGGGGTGGGAAGAGACCTGAGGGGCTGCCATGCCACACCAGAGGCCACCCCAACCCTGCAGTTCACAGCAAATGTGCTAGGAGCCCGCTTCTCACTTCCATAAATAGGGACAATCTGACACCTCACTCAGGGGCACTGTCCAGGGCACCTAAATGTAGGTCCACCTTGAACCCAGACTAGAACTTTCTGTGGTGGTAAATGTGCCCTGTATGTCTGTTCAGTGTGGCATCCAGACACCTGTATGGAGGAGGAGTTCCCTGCCCAGGAGTCAGGAACCAGCAGCCTTTTCAGGGACACTTTCTCAATACCCAGGTAAAGGTCCACTGGGATGCTCCGGAGGAGACTGTCTCATCACTGGGACACATTTAAAAACATACCCGGCTTTGCTGTCCTGGACTGAGCATTTGTAAAATACCTTGGTGAGGTTTTCATGTTGTGACCAATAACTTCCTCATACCACAGCGGGTGTCAGAGAACTAAAAGCTGTGCTTTGGTGTGGCCAGGCCTGTCCTGTGGGGACAGCAGATACCTGGGTGGCATCCCAGGCTTGGTACTGCAGGGTCCCTGTGAGGATGTAGTCACTCAGGTAGAAGAGTAAGAGACCGATGATGAGCAGCGGGCTCACACAGGCCCACATGGCCTTCCAGTACCAGTTGAGGGCTCTGCCAGTCATGGCCTGAAGTTCATTTTCAAATCTATATGGATCATGGGGAGAGAAAGTCTGGGTTATTGATGCTTCTGGAGGTGAGAGGGGTCCAGTCTGCACACCCCATCACTTAGGAAGATTTTGTTTGGGGCACCATTTATGTTTGAACATCACCCCAGGTGCCTCTCTGACCCCTTCTAGCAGGGGCAAGGGGAAAAGGGCTGAGGCTGCCCAAGCAGGGTGACAAAGCAACCCCTGCTGATAGGAGGACACCAGGAGACATCTTCCTGGTACTGGCTGCCAGAGTAGATCAGAAGGCAGCTCCCAGTGACAGTGGGGACAGGGTGCATGGGGACTAGCAGTCCAATCCGTCTTCAAGGACGGGGGCCCTCAGGTGGTTTCGCTTCCCCTCCACTCCCATCCAGGTGGCTCTACTGCCCATTAGAAACGCTCCCAGGACCCGCAGGACAGAATTGCTTTATGCTTGCGAACAGCAGGTCTTGTAGCAGAGAGAGTCTGGCCTTGGCCCCAAAGGGCCTGGACCCTGGCCAGGAAGAGCTGGAGGAGTGGGCCCAGAGGAGCCAGGGCCGTGCTTTCCAGAAGCTGGAGGCCGCTGGCCAACAGCACTCCCACCCTGGCTGCACACTAACGTAGCAGCACACAGCAGTACTCCTCCACAGGCCGATCAGATCCTGTTCCAGGACCCACATGTGTACTTTAGCACTTAGGGACATGTTGGCCCAACTCCTCTCCCCATTTTACAGGGGAGGAGACTGAGGCCCAGGGTTGGGCTGGGACTCACTGAAGGCACCAGGGGGCAGAGCTCCTCCTGCCTTAAAATCTGCTACTCACTGTGGGAGAAGCCACCTTGGCAGGAAGGCTGGGGTGAGGCAAGATGTCACTGTCACCAGCAGTGGTCACAGCTCCTGCCTCCCTGCATCTAACCCCAGTGTGGAGTTTGGGGTAAAGGGGATCAAACCTAGGGCCTCGAGAATTTTAGGCAAGCGATCTGTCACTGAGCTGTATTCTAGAGCCCAGGTGAGAGGGTGTCCCTCTCACCCCTAGCCACTCCTGGAGAGAAAGGTGGGAAGAGCAGGCTGCAGAAGCGGAGGCAGGACACTCCCTAAGAAGTTCACTAGATGGCGCTGCGCCCTCAGCGAGCAGAAGAGTCCTCTCCTGACCACTCCTCTCATTACAAGTCCTTCCAAACTGGAGCTCCGTTTTTCTTCTCTGTCCCTCCTGCCTTCACACCACTCTTCTGATGGGGCTTGTTCCCCTCCCCATAACCTCCAGTGAACCCAAAGTTCCGTTCCTCTCTCCCCAACCTTCTCCCTTTGCTCTGAAACACCCTCTTTAGGGACCAATTGCTCCTTCTAGACTGGCATTTTCTAGGTGACCAATCTGTCCCATTCTACTGGGGACTTTCCTGGATTTAGTACTGAGAGGCCTGTATCCCAGGAAATCCTTTGATGCTGGGGAAAATGGAAGACTTGGTCACCCTCATGCTAGTGTCCTCAAAATGTTATGAGATGTGAAAGGGAGAAGAGGGGAGGGTAGAATGGCCGAGGGTGGGGGCTGGGGTCGTGGCTCAGTGGTAGAGCACTTGCCCAGCACATGTGATGAGGCACTGGGTTCGATCCTCAGCACCACATAAAAATAAATAAAAGATATCTACAACTAATATATATATATATATATATATATATATTTTTTTTTTTTTTTTTTTTTTTTTTTAAGAGCCAAGTAGGTTTTGGGAATGCTGCAGATTATAACCCCTCTCTGTGAATCTCAAGTGTCTTCCGGGTTCCGTGAGAGCTACAGGAAAGACAGCCAGCTGGCTTCAACTTATGTCCTGAGATGCACTAATTGCGGGCAATCCCTTGGCATGTCGGGAAATCTCAGCTGTTCCAGGCACAGTGAGGAATGCCTCTCAAGGGACCTCCAGCCTGCTAGAATGCTGCAGCTGGTCTCCCTTTCCACCCCCAAACCAGTGTGGAACATCAGAAGACACTGGGAAAGAGGAGGTAAGACAAAGTGGCCTGGTCCCCTGATCCCAGCTCAAGCTGGAGCAGCGCCTGCCATGTGCTCAGAGCATGTTAATTAGATGAGCTGCCTCAGTGGCACCGGGTAGCCTGAGGTCCTCAGGTTCTTGCAGGCTCTCTGCTCCTTGCTGCTGCTGCTGCTGCTGCTCAAGGGACCACAACTGGAGGAGTATGGCACTAGACCATGTCTCAAAGTGTGGCCCCAGACTACCTGGGGACATGCAAAAATGAGAACTCTCTTTTCATTCATTTTTTGGTACTGGAGATTGAATCCAGGTGCTCTGCCACTGACTTACATCCCCAGACCTTTTTTTGTTTGTTTTTTGTTTTTTTGAGACAGGGTCTAAGTTGCCCAGGCTGGGCTTGACTTGAGATCCTCCTGCCTCAGCCTCCCGAGTCACTGGGATTGCAGGTGTGCTCCACTGCACCTGGCTTAAAATGAGAACTCTTGTCCCTCACCCCAGACTCCTTAACCAGAACCTCCGGTGGGGCCCTGCAACCCTTGTTTGCATGAGCCCCCGGGTGGCTGTGAGGCACATTCAAGTTTGAAAGTTGCTGTAGGCCAGGGGTTGTGAGCCCAGCTGCCCATTTCATGACCTGGGGAGACGGGCCACATTGCTGTGCCAGCCTGGGCAGCAGGGTTGAGAACCTGACCACATTTTGAATTTGCCAAAATTCCTAGTTCTCAATGGACTTTGGTCCAAGTCCTTGAAAAACACTGATGTTAGCCAATGATCGGGGCATCTAGGACCTGGCGGTATAAAAATTCTCCACCGAGTAAGCTGTGGGGTCCAGCAGGGTCAACGGGGAAACTTCCTATAACAGAGTGAAGCGAGGCAGAGAAGTAGCCGAGATCCAAGGGCAAAGGGCCAACTTCTGGGAGTGAAATGACATTGAGTCGGGGCGATTTTTCTTGTGGGTTGTCCCCCTTCCATTGCGTTTCCCCCACGTAGCTGGCAAGGGCTGGAGCCCGCTCACCTCCTCAGCCCGTACACGTAACACAAGGCGATCGTCTCCACCAGGACGATGAGCAGCAGGGACAGTGTGGCCGCATATTCATTGAATATGTCAAACCAGTAGTTTCCGGCCTCCATGGTGAACACCAAGCCGACGGCACAGCTGATGAGGCACAGAAGACCTGGGGGCACAAGACCATGGGCTCATCTGCCCACACCTCCGCCCACACATCTGATTTTCTATGGGGCAGCAGGAGGCATGGACTCCTAAGGGGACTCTGGCCAATGGGTTCATCCATGTGGATTGGGAGAGGGTGGCGCTAGGCTCCTTGGGAAAGTGAGAGTGGTAAGCATTTGCTCTTTGGGGACTCTCACCTGGGCTGTGGGGCTGGGGATGATATTGATCCCATCCACTCAACCCCAGAGCTCATGGACAGTCAATCAGGGAAGAGGCTTGAATGTGAGGTAGGGATCTCCATCAGGACTTCCTGGAGATATCTTTCATACCACCAGAGGGGGGAAGAAACTTAGGGTTTACCCAGCTCCTACTATGTACCAGGCACTGGCTATGAATTGTATCCTTAAACCTGCCAGGCAGGTATCAGGAATCACTTTCCCAGTGGGAAGCCAAGGCTCAGAGATGTCAAACAATTCATCCCACGGCCCACAGCACACGGTGGCAGAGTCAGGATTCAGACACAGGTGCCTCAGCCTCCAGAATCTGGATTTTGTCCCCGTCTCCTTCAGTTGCCTCCTGTCTTGGGGACCCCAGGAGGGGTTTGAAACCTAAGCTCCCACTCCTTTCCATTGCACACCAGACAGTGATGGCCGCTGAGCCCCCACTGCCATCTTCAAGGGATGGCACCAGGAAAAAGGGGTAAGTGCTGTCTGGGGAGCTGCTTGCACACATGCTGGCTGCAGAGACGGGATTCCAAGCAGGATGCTAAGTGCAAGCAGACCCTCATGAAAGGCAGGCGGATCCAATTAAGGGGGTCAGGACTTGAAGGAGATGGGAGGGGAGCTGGGTTTGGATCACCCTGGGTGTGATGGAGGTGTGGTGCCAGCCATGGCACAGGCAGAGGGCCAGGCTACGCGGTCCCCATGACTGGTGGGAATGGTGGTAGAACGAAGCCAGGGAAGATGTTCTGGGAGACGCTGGTTCCTTCACTAACGACCCCAAGGAAAGCTGAATGGATGGAGAAACTGCGCTCTTTCAATGGCTTCTTGTACGACAGGAAGAGTGTCTGGCAATTGCTGCCCATGACCACACGGTTCATTGATCTACAGTTCAAGGACAGTGCAGAGAGAACTAAAATGGTAGGACTCAGAATAGGGCAGGGCTGTAGGCACGCTTATTGCCTGGGAAGGAATCTGAGAAGGAGCTCTCTGGGGTCTGGGCAAAGTTCTTGACCTAGGTGGTGGATATTTGGGAGGACCTATATGTAAAAATTCATTGCAGCGTCCTTAAGTAATATATGTTTGTAATCGTGATGCTTCAATGAACAGAAGCTGAACCTTATGGTTGGGATGTGAAGAGTCCCTCAAAAACTCACGTGTGAGACAGTGCAAGAAGGTTCAGAGGAGAAGGGTTGGGTTGTGAAAGCTTTAACCCCATCAGTGAATTAATCCCCTGATGCGATTAACTGAGTGGTAACTAAAGGTAGGTGGGTGTGGCTAGGAGGTGGGGCATTGGGGGCGTGGCTTTGGGTGTATTTTTGTATTTGACAAGTGGAGAGCTCTCTCTCTCTCTCTCTCTCTCTCTCTCTCTCTCTCTCTCTCTCTCTCTCTCCTTCCTGGTCATCATGTGAGCTACTTCCCTCTGTCACACATTTCTGCCATCACATTCAGTCCCACCTTGAGCCCCAAGGAATGGAGTCTGCTGTCTACAGACTGAGACCTCTGAAACTGTGAGCCCCCAGATAAACTTTTCCTCCTCTACAGTTGTTCTGGTGGGTCCTTTTAGTCACGGCCATGAAAAAGCTGACCCAAACACTGAAATACTCTCTCTCCCATGCTGTAGTGTCAGGTTGGGGAGGTGGGGCAGGATTGAAGTTTTGGGTGATCTTTCCTCGGATGTTGAGAAGGGAAGGCACAGGCTGACTCACAGGTCTCAGATGACAAGCAGCTAAGGAAGCACAGGACTGTAGTGAGGTTGCTTCTGTCACCTGGGGCCGTCTTGAGAAGCACAGGGCCCTTGAGGAAACTTAGCCTTGACTTGCCATCACCTCCCAGCCCACCCTAACCCAACCTCTTCCACTGGCTAGCCCACTGACCTGAGATGGCCTCCTTGGGCAGGTGGCCGGTAATGAGCTTGCTGTCAGTCAGAGGGGTGAGGATGGCTGCCGTGTTTCCCAGCATGCTCCCGATGCCCAGGACCAGCAGCATGAAGAAGTAGAGGACGGACCACAGCTGGGACACCTCCATGTTTTTAATGGCCTCAGTGTAGACGATGAAGGCCAGGCCAGTGCCCTGGACAGCCTGCTCGTGGTGAGAAGACACCAGTTGCACACCCATAGGATTGACAGTCTCCTGTCCTACACTCAGTTCTAAGCAACCTGGGGACCTTGGAACTAGCCAAAAGAAGCCATATTCTGAGCTTTGCATATGCCCAGCATGTAGACTACTAAATATGTGGGTTTAAAAAGACAAAACTGGATAACAATTGTATTTAAAACCAGAGGGATAGGAGGAGAGTGTTCAAAAGACTTTTTGCTACTTGGGAGGGAAATCAAGAGAGGGTCTAACATTAGACTTTGTTAAGTTAAATATGCACAGGAAAATTTCCAGGAAAAAAAAAAAACAGGCATCCACATTTCAAATGGTAGAGGATTACATGGAATGAGAAAAGGGTGGGGGAGAAAGAGAGAAAAGAACAAACAGAACAGGGAAAAAAGTCTAAATAAATGAGTAACCATATAGTTCATGGACACAGAGCCAAGTTCAAAAGTTAGTGAGGGAAAAATCTCAGGGGCCAAAACCAAAAAGGAAATGGGAGGTGAGAGGCCTGAAGAGGAGCTGGTGCTCAAGGGCCCCATGGTGCTGAACAGAATGTAGGCCTTGATGCCTGAGGATGGGGTCTGGGCATGTGATTCTCCCAGGAAGGGAGGGTCACACCCCAGGGTGGGGCAGGCAGGGATCTGGGGCTGAATCACAGGTGAAATAACCGGGAATGCCTCCCCCATTTAACAAGCCCAACAGACCAGCCTCCTGCAGCCTCCCTGGAGACCAGAGCCATGCTCTCCCTCTTCCCTATTCTTGGAAAGAATTCTCTAGAAGTATTTACATTAAGTATAAGAACTAGACAATATGCTTGCTGACCCTTCTGTTAGGCTCAAAGCCCCAGTGCATACAATAAGAAAATGAAATGAGATACAACTACTGAAAATACAAAATTGTGTCTGTTTACACCAAAAAAAAAAAAAAGCCCAGAAGCAAATCTATAAATGAATATGAAATTTTGTAGGCAAATTCATCAAAGTTGCTAGGTATGAGATCAATGTACAAAACCTATAGCTTTCCTTTACATCAAAAATAAACATGATAGAAAAGGGCGGGGGGCACCACTCACAATAGCAATATAACAACAAGGTAATATAAATCCACTCAATGATGTCAAAATATTCAGGTAGAAAATTAGTTGTAGAACAAAACACCTGGGCTGGGGCTATAGCTCCAGTGGTAGAGCACTTGCCTAGCATGTGTGAGGTACTGGATTTGATTCTCAGCACCACATAGAAATAAATGAATAAAAATAAAGGTTCATCAACATAAAAAAGAATTAAAAAATAAAAAGGAACAAAAGACCTAAGTGAATGAGAGAAAGCCTGTTCCTGAATCAGAAGTCGTGATTCAAAAGAGATTCATTCTTCCCAAATGACATTATAAAATTATCAATGCAACTCTCATGAAGATTCCCTAAGGGATCCCTCCCAGTGAAACCTGCCCATGTTATCCTAAAATTATTGTGGGAAAAAAAAATAAAGATCCTAGCATAGCAGAGAGAATTCTGTAAACTATCAAAATTATTTAAAAAGCAAAATGTGAAAAGTATCCAAATGTCTATTAGTAAAGGGATGGATAAGTAATTATAGTATCATTGTGTGACGGAATAAAATAAATATAACACTTAAAATGAATGTGTGAGATTCTAAATGTATTATTATGGACAGGTCTCAATATTAAACTGTTGAATGAGAAAAGTGTCCTCCAGGACCACTTAGGCTCACTTAAAACCACCAACAAAGCAGTGATATCATCTAAGAATATGTAAACACATGGTCTACAAATATTTTTCCCATATGCTGCCTGTCTTCTCACTTTGTTCACTTTTCCTTTGCTGTGCAGAAGCTTCTTAGCTTGATATAATCCCATTTGTCTATTTTTGCTTTTGATGCTTGTGCCTTTGAGGTGTTATCTAAAAAATCGTTGCCTATAACAACGTCTTGAAGTACTTCCTTTGCTTTCTTCTAGTCTTACATTTCAGGTCTTACATTTAGGTCTTTGGTCCATATTGAATTGATTTTTGAATTTGGCAATAGACAGAGATCAGTTTCCTTTTTCTGCACATGGATATCCAGTTTTCCTTGTGCTGTGTATTGAAGAGACTATTCTTTCTTCAATTTATATTTTTGGTACCTTGTCAAAAATCAGTGGTGACAGCAGCTCAGGAGGCTGAGGCAGGAGGATTGCAAGTTCAAAGTCGGCCTCAGCAACTTAGCAAGGCCCTAAGCAATTTAGCAAGATCCTGTCTCACAATAAACAATAAAGAGCCTGGGATGTAGCTCAATGATTAAGCACCCCTGGATTCAATCCCTGGTAGAAAAAAAATTGGAATGGATTATGCATGTGGATTAATTTTTGAGCTCTTTATTCTGTTCCATTCGTCTATGTGTCTGTTTTTATGCCAGCACCATGCCATTTTGATTATAGTTTTGTATGTTTTGAAGTCAGGTATTGTGATGCCTCTAGCTGTTTTTTTTTTTTTTCCCTTCTCAAGGTTGCTTTGGATAGTCTGGGTCCCATAGGAATTTTAGAATTTTTCTTCTGTGAAGAATGTCATTGGTATTTGATGTGGATTGCATTCAATCTGTAGACTGTTTTTGGTAGTATGGACATTTTAACAGTGTTAATTCTTTCAATCCATGAACATGGGATATCTTTTCAAGAGTGTGTGTGTGTATGTGTCCTCTAGAATTTCTTTCATGAGTAATTTGTAATTTTCATTGAAGAGATTTTTTTAAAAAAATTTTCTTTGGCTAAATTCAAACTACTCAATAACAAAAATCCACATAACCCCATTAAAAATTGTTGAACGATGTGAATAGACATTTCTCAAAGGAAAAATGTACATGAGAAGATGCTCAACCTCACTAATCATCAAGGAAATGAAAGCCCAAGTCATATCTTATTCCAGTTAGAGTGGCTGATTATCAAACATATAAAACAAACAAACGAACGCTCACCAACTCCTATACTGTGGGAATGTAAATTCATACAGTCATTATGGAAAACACTCTGAAAGCTCCTCAGAAAACAAGAAGTAGAATTTCTATATGATTCAATAATTCCCACTACTGCATTTACACCCAAAGGAAATGAAATCATTCTATCAAGGAGACACTGCACTGTGTGCTTATTGCAGTATCATTTCCAATAACCAAGAGGTGGAGACATCAGTGGACAAATTGATAAAGAAAATGTGGTACACATATGCAATGGAACCTTATTCAGCCATTAAAAGAATGAAATTCTGTCACTTGCATCAATATAGATGGAACGAAAAACATTAAATGTAATAAATCAGATATAGAAAGACAAATACTTCATGTTCTCATCCATGGAAACTAAAAAAAAAAAAAAAAAAAAAAAAAACAATCTCAGAGAAGGGAGAGTGGTTGAGTGGTTACCAGAGTGGAAGGATAGTGGGGAAGGAGCATAAAAAGGAGTTAGAGGAGGCATTTTTTTGTTTGTTTGTTTGTTTATTTTTGGTCTCACTAAGTTGCTGAGGCTGACCTCAAACTCAAGATCCTCCTGCCTTAGCCTCCTGAGTAGCGGGGATTACAGGAATGCACACCTGGCCAAGAGGTTAGAGAAGAAGCACCAAACAAGAGACTGAGAGAGGAGGAATTAGTTTTGTTGTGCCATAGTGTCAGAAATTGTCTAATCTCTGACAGTCTGTGCTGCTGTGTTCCAAAATAACCCTTTTTGGATAAGACGGGTTCAAAAGTTCCTAACACAGGAAAATGATTAATGTTTGAGGAGATGGAGATGCTCATTTTCCTGAGTGGATAATTACATGTTATATACATGTGTCCATCCTCAGCACCAAAAAATTATCATACTGTACCCCATAGACATGCCTAAATCTGTGCTAATAAAATATAGTTCAAAAAGAATATACACACACACATATATAATAAAAATGAAGGTTCTTGTCTCTGGTGAGTAGGGAAAACTTAGGACCTATAACGAAGGAGAATTTAATTTTGTCCCTGAAACATCCTTTTAAAAATAACGACAGTCTGATGACAAGCATTCATCCTGAGACGGCTCTAGGGGTGTTTGCTATTTTATTCTCTGCCCATACCTTCCTATATTATTAAAATTAAGAGAAAAGGAGAAAGAAGGAAGGCAGAGAACCCAATGGGGCTTTATAATGAGGAGGGGTCCCCAGCAGCGCCTGGGGAGAGCAGCGGTCAAGTCTCTGTTCTCTGAGTTACAGGGAAAGTCAATCCGTCTTTCCTGGTGTCCGGGGACTGGGTGGGTGGCAGGCAGTTCTCAGGGCCCCTGGGAAGTGTGTGGAGAGGCCAGCCCTGCCCTTCCCAGGTGCCTTACCGTGTCCAGCTCTGACTCCAAGCTGCAGTTTTTAATGAGTGGAAACACCTCGCTGTATCTGCTCGGATCGGTGGACGCCAGGTAGTCCTTCACCTGCTCCAGGTTGCTGGCTGTCACAGAGCCATCTTCAAGGTCGAAAGAGTTGGTCAGCAGCAGAATCACCCTGCAGAGCAGACCATCAGCTTGACCTTCACTGGCTGGCAAGGTCGCTGTCCCCAAGAGCTCTCAGAAGCTAGGGTGGGGGTGGGGGTCTGTCCTCCCACCAGCCTCTACCTTCTGGTTTAGGTGGGGGTCTGTGGACTGGTGGGTAAACCTGGGATGGCTTTGAGAAAGCCTCAGATATAAACGGGCAGGACGACAGGAGCCAGACCCCCACCTGAGGCCGTTTGAACACCTGGACCAGGGAAGTCGGACGGAGTTTCCTGTGATGGTGGATCTGCTTCAATCTGTCACTACTAAGAGGAAGAATTGAAAGGAAATCTAGAATCATCTAAATCGAAGTTCATGTCGGCATGCAAATTATTCCAAGGTCAATTAGCCGACAGGGATTTAAACTTTAAGGGAAACAGGGCTGCTTGGGGCTGCTGCCTGCCAGGTTGGAATCTCACCTTCTAGAAGGTGCTCCTGTAGTTTTGGTCAAGGGCTACAGACAGGAAATCCTGTCCTCTCTGGGGTTTGGTCAGACAGGACTTGGTTACTTTATTTTTTTTTTTAATTTAAGTTTATTTTTATTTTTCTCTTTTGAGATGGGGACTCCCTGTGTTACTACCCAGGCTGGTCTTGACTCCTGGGCTCGGGTGATCCGCCCACCTCTGCCTGCCCAGGGCTGGGAGCCTGGTGGGCACCACCATGCTGGGCTTTGGATACTTTGGAGACTGGGGAGACGGATCAGCAGACACTGAAGTTGTGGGTTGAATGCTGTCTTCTGCTAAGCACACAGAACCCCACAAACCAGCCCCTTCCCTGCAAGGCCGACCTTGACTGGCCCCAGGACCCTCCCTCAGCTCCTGGTGCTGATGGTGGGAAGCCTGAAACTGACCCTGGATTGAGGACTCCCAAATGGGTGCTCTCGGTGGCCCCTGGGCCTTTGAACGTCACCTCATCCCTGTCCCCACTTCAGCTCAGAGCTCTGGGGACTCAGCCCCCAGACTTACTTGTTTAAGCAGCTTTCGTAGTTGAAGGTGGCCTTGAAGCCGTAGATGGAGAAGGTGACGATGCTGGCGAAGATGGAGGTGGAGCTGTTGATGAGGGACACGGTGATGGCGTGCTTCTGGCAGTTGCTGCTGGGCTCGTTGTAACTGGCGAAGGCGATCAGGCTGCCGAAGCCCAGGCCGAGCGAGAAGAAGATCTGGGTGGCCGCGTTGACCCAGGTCTTGGGGTTGGCCAGCTGCTCGACCTGAGGACCGGCAGGGGACAGGGCCCATGAACCCAGGGCCCCGTGCCCAGGCTCTCAGATCCGGGGGAGAGGGAGGCCCAGGGCAGAAGGGATGGGGCCCCCAGGGTGCAGCCAGTCAGGGCAACCTGGGGCTGGAGCCCGGCTCTCCTGCCCAGTCCATTTCCCAGGAGGACAACCGTGTGGCCTTCTCAGGTCGTCTCCTCCGTGGCACCTTACCCACAGGAGGTTCGCAACCGAACATCTAGGGCAAAATGATTTTTTTAAAAAAATGCACTGATCTCTGGTCCACCACCAGCCAGGCAGTCTGTGAGTCTGGATATTAAGTGGTTGTGGCTTGGAGGTGGAGTTCAGGTCTGGATTGCATCTGGTGCTGTTGTTGCGGACGTTTGGAACAAGAGAGTGCATTTTGGGGGGGATGGGACAGTTATTCTGTTTCCAGGTGCTAGATTTTCTAAATGAAGAACTTGCCCACCCCACTGGTTCCCCGCTGATGAGCTGTGGGGTGCTGGAAAATGGGGAGTTGGGATGGGATGGTGGATGACCTGGAGGAAGCAGGTAACAGGTGAGGGAGATGATGGAGCCCAGCCTGTGGCACCCGGCTCTGGGGAGAGTCTGGGTGGGGCTTTGGGGCAGGGAGGCCAGAAGGGAGGCTGGGGCCGCTGTTGGCTGAGGGCAGTGAGGGCAGGAGGGACTGGAAGCAAGACTTCACAGGCTGCCCCCAAGTGACCCACACCCCTAGCCCCAGCCTCGGGGCTCCCAGCACCCTCTGTGGGCAGCTTCCCCCTCCCTCCCACCTCCAGCCTCCCCGGAAGTGGCGGGATATGACAGAGAGGCATCCTCAGGGTCCCTCCCCTGCAGCCTGTACCTTGGGCGTGAACATGTACATCAGCCCGTTGGTGGCTCCATGGAGCGTGAGGCCCCTGATCAGGTAGATGATGAGCACACAGTAGGGCAGCAACGCCGTGAAATACACCACCTGTGGGCGTCAGAGGGTGGAGTCAGCCTCCTGGGGAGGGACGGAGGGCGGGGTCGACACAGGCCCTGCCCCAGTGACATCTGGAAGAGACGTGGACATTGCTGGTTGGACACAGTGTCCAAGGTTGGGCTGAAGAAATGGGCTGGCTGGCTGTGGCCGCCCCCGTCTGTCGCCACCAGGAAACCTCCTATTCTACCCAGGAGGGGCCGGTGGTCATCGGGGCTTTCCCTGGGCACCGCCTTCGCCCTGGCCACAGTGTGTGTGGTGGTGAGTGGCGGGCCCAGCTGCCTCCAGCCGACCACACTCCAGATGGCAGAGACCCCAGAAGCTCCGTAGGAATTGTCACGGCGCTAGATAAAGAGATCAGTCTGGAAACAAAATGTGGGCGGTCATGAGGCCAGAGAGAAAGAGTGACAGTCTCCACCCAATTTCTACGAAAGGCTCACTTTCTCAGGCTTGAAATTGCACAAAAGTGGAATTTTGGTCAAGCAAATCTTTTCCCTGTCACATGCATTGCAGATTCAAGGACTCTCCCTTCCTCCCTTCTTCTTCCCCCCCAGTGCCCCTGTCCCAGGAGAAAGGAGTATTTGGGGGGCCGGTTTGTGCATGAGCGCCCTTATCATTTGCATCCTCCTGGGAGAAACACAGCTGGTGACTGACCCTTGTCCCAAGGGCCTTGAATAACACTCAGCCTTCCATGTCCTCTAGGCGTGGCGCCATCTTCCTATGAATTTCCAAAGCCACCAGCGTGGTGCCCTGTGTCCTCTCTCCCAGAGGGCACACAGACGCAGGGCATGTCCTTCCACTGCTTCTGAGCTGGGGTCATTACAGCTTGAGAGGAGTAATAAGTGTTCCCAGGACCAGGAGATGACAGGAGATAAGGGGAAGACAGGGCATCTGCCAGCGCCCTGAAGGCACCCCAGGGACACTGCCCACAGCACTGGGCACTGAGGGGACACTGGGGCCAGCTCCTGGGAGTCCCCTCTTTCTCCGCAGGGGACGAGTTCCCCAGAGGCTGTCTGCAGTCCCCACCAGGTGGCTCCTTCTCGTTTCCATGGAATGGGCAGGATGTTGGGCACCATCAGCTCAACCTACTGGGAGGAGCCGTTCCTGACCACTCTCCCACAGTTCACGGAGGAGGAGGAGGTGCGACAGAGGGGAGTGGCTCTGCCCTGGCCCTGCCCTCACAACTGTGCCCTTGGGCAAGTCCTGTCACCCCTCTAAGCCTCAGTGGGGTGCCAGCCGGGACCTGCTGGGATGGGCTGTTGCAGGATGGGACGAGGTGGGTGCCCACCATGTGGGTCTGCAGTGAGAGAGACCGTGTCCCAGGCTGGGCCTCACCAGGGCGCGGGGCCTGGGCCACAGATGCACCCAGGTGGCCGGTGACGGAATCTCTCACAGCAAACATGTCAGCCCTGGGAGGAGCGTAAACCTGGGGACTCAGCCAGGACAGGAGACTCGGGAAGACCAGGCCTGACTGCTCCGTGTGCTTGTGGGCGCTCATACACAAAACAGCCCACCAGATACTTTCTTTTTCGGGAGCAGGGGCACTGGGGATTGAACTCAGGGGCACTTGACCACTGAGCCACATCCCCAGCTCTATTTTTTTGTTTTTTATTTAGAGACAGGGTCTCGTGAATTGCTTAGCACCTTGCTTTTGCTGAGGCTGGCTTTGAACTTGTGATCTGTTGAGAGCCACAGCCGAAGGGGCCCCAGCAAACTTCTATCAATTCTATCCAAATGCATATTTTCCATATATGTTTCAGTGATTTTTAATGCCTTTCTTGCTTCAGGCGTTAACATTCAAGGTGAATTTGTATCTGATGGACCTTTTAGGATATCAAATAAAGGTCCCAACTCTCCTGTTGGTATGCCTAGATAAGGCCTTATCCAATTTATGTCTCCTAATAACTTTTGAAAGTCATTAAGTGATTTGAGTTGATCTACTC